ATACAACGAAAACTCGCATCCTTTGTCTACCCTTTTATAGTCCGATTGTCTTTGTTTTTTTATTGTTGTTACCTGTTGGGATCTGGGTAGACGTATAACTATATTCTAAATCCCCAACTCGTAACAATGTAATATTTACTGCATGTCTTTCCATATACCTGTTTATTTCATTGTAATAGGTCTGGGTTGATTTGCTTCTTCTGGTAGTCTGTTGTTGGGTAATGTTCTAAAGTGTGAAGTAGGAGTGTGTTTGGTTATAGATGTTTTTATTGCTGAGTGCAGTCTGTCCATTTCTGAGTCTATATCTTCTGTTGTTTTCCCTTGTAGGTTAATCGAGTGGTGATTACCTAAGTCGTCTTTGAAGCTGTCCCAGTCTGTTTACTCATTTTCAGTCTCTTTTTTATTGGTATCTGTATGGGGCTTGTTGACAGTGTTAGTATAATTGGCAGATGGTCACTGCCTGTAAGAGGTCCCTGTATTATATGGTAATTGAAAAAGGCTTTGTTGTTGGTAAAATTTTTGTCTGGTGTCGATTGTGTATTGTGATTTCTCCAGGTTGGAAAGTTAGGACCCAGATGATTGATTTTCCCTAAATTTATTAATTGATTAAGGGCGTTTCCCACGACGTTATTATTTGTATTGTCAAAAATCCTATGTCTGGCGTTAAAGTCTCCTAAGATGTACATCGGATATTCTTGTTGTTAATTTCTAGCAGGTCTTCTGCATTAAGTAATGCTTATGTTGTCTCCTTGAGTTGTATTTATTTTATTGCTAGAAATTAAATACAAGTCATCAATTAGTTTAAATTTTAAGTTTCTTTTAACCGCTATCGCTACTCCGTCATTTTTCTCGCCCGATTTATTTCTTTGGTTTACATAATAGTTAAAGAGTTTTATGTTGTTGTTTTCTGTCTCACCGTGACTGTTTATTAGTATAATGTCAGGGTCAATTTCGCGATATATATTACTTAGGTTAATTCTCTAGGTCTTCCAGTTTCTTACGTTGTGTTGTATTATTCTTAAAGTTCTTACTGTTTGTCTATTGTCCATTATTTCTTATACTTGGATTGTGGCAGTCAGTTGGAGTGGAGACCTATCATCCTGTTTCCCGCTTCTGACTCTTCTATACTCTGACGGGTCTACTATTTTAAAGTCTTTGGCCGTAATCTTTAGTTTGTCCGTAGTAATTAGTGACCAGACATAATCTTCACTTAGGGATTTTTCTTGATATGTCCACTTGTATATCCCTCCTTCACAGGTTTTTACTATTGTCCCTCCTGTTGGTCTCGATGTTGGGATTCCATGTTTTGTTGTAGTGATAACTTTTAATCCAATTTCTTCAGCAGATTCAGGTTGTATATTGTGATCAGTTTCCATCTTATCTTCTCTCCTCCTACTCCTTTGTCTGTCCTTTTGTTATTTCTATCTTCTCTTTGTCACTTCTAGTCATTTGTCTGGGATCTCTATCAGTCGCTTGTGTTCCTTGTGTATCAGCTGTTGCTCCTTACTCAAACCTTTGTTCGTCTTGATGTAGTCTTTCTCTCAGTTCGCTTGCATATGTTGTCTGAAATAGTTTTTCGGATTGTGGATTCTCTGGAAATATCATCTCTGGTAGGTTATTCAATTTAAGCTTATTTTCATATTCCTCATTGTATGATCCAGATTGCAATGATATTGTGCAAATGTGCATGGATCATACTAATCATTACCTTATCATGTATTGGCTCACTTGAGTTTATACTGTGGATTCTGGTCTGTGAGCCTCTTGGACCGCTCTCTTGGCTATTTCGACGTATGTCGTATCCTTCTTGTCTTGTTCCTTTTTCCTTGTTTTTTGTTCCTTGTACTTTATCATGTGTTTTTTTTTATTGGGCATGCCATTGCTAACGTCCTGTGTCCTATATATGCATTCCCGTTTCTCTTACAGTTGAGACAGCCAACATGTGTGTTCTTACATTCAGTGTAGGTATGGTCGTCGCCTGCACAATCTGAGCAGTACTTTTTTTCTTTTTTCGGACAGTCTCTCGTTGTGTGTTCTTCATATTTGTAGCAGGAGAAGCAAGTTTGCAGACTGATGAATGTCTCCTTCTTTATTTGATGTGGTGTGACTGACATGTTGAATATTAGAAAGCCCTGTTGTAAAACTTTCTCAGCCATTGACACTTCTTCAAACATGAGTATAGTCCTTTATCTTAATGACTTCTTCAATCTTCATCCACCTATTTTGGCGTTCCAGTTCTTCTTTCAGGTCTTCCTCCCGATCTCTTGATCGACTTGACGAACAAAACTGATCTTTTTGCTTTTTGTTCTGGTGGCATGACAACAATAAGGCCTTCATTGTAAAATATATCTCTTGCTTCTTTTGAAAGGATTTTATCTGAATCAAAGTCATCTTTACAGATTACTTTAAAACCTTCATTGGTGCTGAATATTCTAGTTAGTGGGACTTGCAGTTTGTTGTAAGTGATTTCTGCCACTTTTCCCTTTAATAGAGTGTCATA